AGATGGTTGGAGGCAATCGGCCACAGGAAGCCTTGTCTGACCTAGGTTTCGTGCTAGTTGGCACTCACCAGTCAGCAAGGCGTATCTGCAACCTTGAAGGAACTCATGTCCCTTCTGAGATTCGAACCCGCGTCACCCAGTGCTGCAGTCAGAGACTGATAGAATTCAGTCTACACCAATCAGAGGACTAGACGCATCAAACTAGTTACTAGTGTCAAATCAAAATATCCACTACAGTCCTACAGGAGGTCAATTGCGGGCCCGAATAGCTCAGTGATAACGTTTCTGAGTGCAGCTCTCACTGGGTGACGCAGGTTCGAATCTCAGAAGAGACATGAGTTCCTTCAAGGTTGCAGATACGCCTTGCTGACTGGTGAGTGCCAACTAGCACGAAACCTAGGTGCAAGGCTTCCTGTGGCCGACTGCCTCCAACTATCTAATAACATCAAATCAATGTGCACCGTGATGGCGAGCTACCTAGTGGAATGGTGGCCACATTACAACTTGACTGATAGAATTCGGTCTACACCAATCAGAGGACTAGACGCATCACACTAATTACTAGTGTCAAATCAAAATTATTATTATTATTATGTAAAGCGAACTGCCTAACCTCGCCTAGTTAACCACCTTGCTGTATTTCTAGCCGGTTCCACACCCAGGTGAAGAGAGAGGGTTGGGCGTGGGGCTAGAAACCCTACACCATCAAACCTATCACACCACTAAAGAAACTTCAACTCACAGAAAATATATTAAAAATACGAAAAATTCAAGTAACAGTCTTATTCCTCACTGGAAACGGAGAGGCGAAATGACAAAGCAGGCCGGTGAAAGCTAACCTTCGAGAATCCAGTCAACCAGCTAGCCGGTGTCTTCTCTCGATGAAATAGAGAATAAGAATGGGGATGTGGGTTGTCTGTACAAGGTACGAGACTGTGAAGGTTGCCCAGTTAGCCGATGAAATGCGGAGATATGGCATAGAAGTGCTCAATATCTGTGACAGCAGATGGAATGGATGTGGATTATCAAAACTGTCAACTGGAGAGCCAGTAATCTACTCCGGTTACTCAGACGACAATCACGAACACACTTAGACAGTGAGTGGCTATCATGATGTCGCCAGAATTCTAATGCCGTGGAAACCTATTTCATCCAAGATCATGACAGCAAGACTCAACTCAACTGGCAGGAAGGAAGGTCACAATCGTTCATTGCTCTACACACAATGCTACAAACAACGTGTAACAAGAGAAGAAGGAAGAATTTTACAGACAACTAAAAACGGTAATGGACAACATCCCAAGTGATAACATCAAAATCTTCATGGGAGATATTTATGTAAGCAGAACTGGGAGCAGACAATACAGAAAGAGAACTTATCATGGGTAGAGACGCCCTCAATTGGAGAAATGAGCGAGAATGGAGAACTGTTCACAGACCTTTGCGCTTTCAATGATTTCGTGATCGGAAAGAGCGTGTACAAGCACAAGAATACACACAAAGCAACATGGATTTCACCAGACGGACACACCACGAACCACATAGATTTCATCTCAAAACTACTCAAGGAAGTGGAGACTCACCCTGTTGGACACAGTGTTGAGAAGGGGAGTAGATGTGGGCTCAGACCACCATCTAGTTCAAGGAACCTTCAAGGTGAAGCTGAAATCCATGAAAACAACTGGAGTCAGGTCACAATACAAGTTCAACATTCAGAGACTGAAAGACAGAACTACAAGGGATGCCTTAGCTACAGAAATCAGAGCAAAGTTGAAGATCCTACGTGGCATCACTGAGGACACCCGCGTGGAAGAACATTGGAAATCTCTGAAGCCGATATTCAAGGAAACGTGGACAACTGTTCTAGGGAGAAAGAAGAGACAAGACAAGGAATGGCTCTCAACGGACACCTACTTGGAAGCCAATAGAAAATGGGAGAGGAGGATGGTGATAGAGAAGATGGCTCAATGCAAAGATGGACGACAGAAGGACAAGCTGAGTTCAATGTACGCTGCACTGAACCAAGAAAAACGTGAACAAGAGTTCTAGGAAAGACAAAAGACAATTCTACAGCACGCTGGCTGGTAACTGAAGCAGAACATGCAGACAGCAGACGAAAGAGACCTCAGGTCATTATTTCAGATAACTAGGTCTCTATCTGGGTGGAGATCAACCCAGATGGTAAGACCAAAAAAGATGTCTAAAGGAACCTGATTACCAAGATGGAGAAACAAACAAAACAATGGGCGGCTCACTTCAAAAGACTCTTGAATGAACCATCACCTGCGACTCGTTCAGAAATGCCAACAACAACAATGCGCACACAACTGCCTGCCAGTGGACACCACTCCCCCAAAGAAAACAGAAATCCTAAATGTGATCAATCTGCTGAAGTTCGGCCGGTAAGGCAGCAAGACCAGATGGTATTACCACTGCCCCAAAGCATTGGAAACGGACTCAGAGACTGTCGCAGATATGCTCACGCCATTATTCCAAAAGGTTTGGAAAGAAGGAAAGTTGCCTTCCAACTGCAAGAAAGGCTTCTACCTCGTCAAACTGCCAAAGCAGGGCAACTTAGGCCTATGTCTGCAGGAACTGGCGTGGAATAATACTCTTGTTCACGCCAAGTAAAATACTAAGTCTCATCACCCTGGAGAGATGCATTGGATACAGAACTGTCTGTCTGGATTCAACATAGAACTTGGAACCGAAGTGCAGAAGTTCCAGTTGCCACGTTCCAAAAAGCACACAAAGGTAGACAAGATGAGTGAAGAGAATCAATAGAGTTTGACAAGTATAAGAGTGAAACAGAATGGGTAATGGTAGAAAGAAATATGAAAGATTACAGAGACTGAATACATCTTCGCCATTGACAACGATTTTGAACCATGTCACCGATTTTGAGCAATGACCACGTCTACTAAGCCAAAGAAGGAGTAAGCTAAGTGTGCCAAACGAGACCTCTGTATCCGTGCTGAGATTTCGATGCCAGAACTTGGGGGTTGGTAGATTTCGGTATGAGCAACATTGCAACCAGCAATCTTCATCAACTAGCCTGAGACCATTTAGTTCTCAAGGTTCATAAAAATAACCCCCTAGCAGATAATTCAGCCAATCTGTATATTCATCTGCAACTACTCTTAGAGTACATTTGATTAAGATCACTCAAATAATCGTACAGCATAAAGCTTGAGAAAAGGCATCTGTTCACCCTCCAATTACATTTCATATAAATCAAGATCCTGGTCAAATCGAGAAGTGCAGCTTCAACTATTCAAGCCACTCTACTCAAACTTACGCAGCCCCGTATGTAAACCTACTGAGAGTTATCATTTGAAGTAAAGACAGCAATCAATAATTCCTTATTTCTAATAGTAATATATATTCACCAATGTTTACTTTCCAACGAATATAGCTGAACAACTAAATTCAATGAACTACAGAAACCACAGCCCTAACACTATGGAATAGGAACGATACACTCTGCAGAGAATCCTCCTCGAAAATGGCTAACCAGGACATTTCATCATAAAATCCATGAAGCCTAAACCATGAAAATCACCTACACTTTTTACTCCCAAGAAACCTCTCTACCTGAGTCTACAATTCAATGGACACTCATCAGCAGAAATACTGAAAAACCACCTGTCCCGCTCATTGAAGAAAACCTTCTTGACGGCTGAACTTTGAATAACTTACTCTACGAAACCAGTGATTCACATGAACGAGAAGTATAAGCTACTACTGCTGGCCTCATCGATGTGCATCTATCAGTTCACCTGCTCGTGTGGAGCTAGACATGTCAGCTGTATCCAGCATTTGCTATCTATTCATATCATCGAACACTTACCCACAGTAATGTTTTTATAAAAGAGAAAGAAGATGCCCCGCCACAACGCTATTCTGGAACACCTGATCGAATCAGCATCAAGCTAACTCATATAGGAACTTCAAAGTTATCTACAAAATATATGGGAATCTTGCTAAAGTAGTACGAATCAAACTTCTTCAAACCGCAGAAGTAATGGCAATTCTCATGTTAAACCATGAATTCTGAATACAAAAGAGGTTTGTTCAGTGACTAAGTCTACAATGGACGTGATCTATCTTAACATCAAATACGTAATTTTCATTCTTCTTTGGTAACTTAATTGTATTATTTGCTTCCCCACCGCCTATTAATTCTCTACCCCTTGTTACCACTGTTGTTACCACTTGACTCTTATTCAATCTTAGATGAGTTTCACTCAACTCCGTCAATTATATTACGTTACTCAACTTAATTTTAGTTTCTACCTGATTGACGCTTTATACAGTGCGTAATTTGTTATCCAAAATTTACGATTCCAATGACACGTCTTTGGAAATATTCCTTTGTTGCCAAGACAATTTACCATATATATATATATATATATATATATATATATAGCTTGAGAAAGATATCGCCGAAAAGAGTGACTCCTTGCTGAACATCTTTTCTTTTAGAACCCTAAACTGCCAACTTTTTTCCTTCACGTTCCTCTGTGCAACATAGGGCTTCAAGCAGCTAGAGGCTTGAAGTTTATGTAGCAGTGTTTATTTTACAGGATGGGGTTGCTAGCCTCATGCCCAACCTTTCCTCTTTACCAGAGTTATTTCTGGCTTAGCGAGGTAGAGGAGTGCGTCGGCCGGGGATCGAACCCCGGACCATGTGCATGGTCGGCGGGCGTCCTAACCGCTATGCCACCGACGCACTAAACTGCCCATATTTTACATTAATATGCGTGCAGTATGCAACTTCGCAGCTAACATAGCATAGCCATCTAGATGAAGACAGTCTTCCGCTTCAGTGCAAAGTAGCCATTTCAGTTTACATTATCTGAAGAAACACAACCTCCTAAAATTAAGTACTCACTATGGACTCAACAAATGCAAAGGTGTGTACAGATTCACGCCTTTATATATAACATATCCTGAACTACTTACTAAATAGAATAATAATAATAATAAATTCATTCAAATCAGCATAACTTCAAGAGCAGTTTATTTAATGCAGAAAAAAGACACATCTTATGCACAGAGATATACACTGGACAACATTTGTGGAAATACACAACACAGACGACCAAAGCGTATACAATTCCCACCGGGGATATCAAGTAAAATAAACAGGCTTTCAGACTGAACACTATTTTTTTTGTTTGTTATTTTCCTTTATTTCAGTCAGATTTGTAGGCATCAATTGCACTGAGACGTTCAAGTAATGGTGGGTGTGAATGATTGAACGTTGAATACAACCAATCACATACAGGAAAGGATAAATTATCTTTTAACAGGATAATTAAAGCAGATTTTAAATGTTGTCCATAACCCAATTTCACAGCAAAAGCATCTGCTTGAAATTCAAATTTTCTAGATAAAACTGTCATCATAAAATCCATGACTGTATTATACGGAGAGAATATAAACTGAAAGATAATAATCAACCTTAGCATAATCGGTGTATCATTATCTTTGAAACCGAATGAAGTGAATAATTCATTCATATCCATTAAAAGACCGAAGATAACAAACATCATGAGTAGATTTGCTTTTCCAATAAATAGATTATAAATTGTATGATTCAACTTCCAATGGCCTAGCTCATGCGCGATAACTGATAAGATTTCTTCGTCAACTGAACAACCACGCTGATCAGATTCTTTTTTAGTCTCCTGTGTAGTTGCCGCTGTTGTTGTAGTTGTATCTTCACTTTTACTAGGAAATTCAAAACCACGAATAAGTGTATCAAAAATAACAATTCTTTTATTTTTACCAAATCCATAGAAATAGGCATTACTATGCGCTGAACGTTTTGAGCCTTCAACAACTAGAAGTTTTTTCAATGGAAACTTAATAGATGCTGCTAATGCTTCTATTTTCGTTTTTAAAGATCCCTCCGGTAGTGGTTCATAATGATCGAACAGTGGTGCAATGTATTCTGGATACACAAACATTAAGAAGACAGTAACTAGAACGGTGAATACAAAGGCGTATATGTAGAAATAGCGTCCACCAGCTTTGATTATCCATATTAGGCAAGACAAGACCGGGATACCGATAAGCATTGAAATGCACAACGCTTTAATTTGATCCTTGATAAAGAAACCAAACGATTGTTTGTTAAAACCATGACGTGCTTCAATTACAAAGGTGCTATAAGTTGTCCATGGGAATGAATCTACAAATATGATCAGAGCTGTATACAAGAAGAACATGATGGAACACTTAATCTCACTGTCTACTCCAAGACCCATATTTATACCGAATTTCTTAATAACATAAGCATTTAAAATGGTCGAATGCTTGACAGCAGTATACCACAACCATGGCAGAAATGAAAAGTATAAGACTGCTGACAATTCAAGAATATGATAAACACCACTAACTAGAGAGAAGTTTGATCGATCAATAGCATATAGACGTGACTTTTGAAAACTTTCATTGTCCATAACACTTGACAGTTCACTTGGAACATTTGTTGAGTTGATAATTTTTCTTCTCTGGCGAATACTTAAATACGTTTCCCAAAGGTAAGTACACCATAAGAATATAAATACACCGGAAAACAAGGACACTGGATATCCAAAAATTACGAACAGTACAAAAGGTGTATCCATTTCTGTAAGTGCCAGTGATATTTACCAAAATTTGATATTTGTCCCAACAATTGAATGTTAGGGAAATAATATTAGGTAGTGACCAAGATCAGTACCTAAAATGGAAATTAAATTAGTCAACAGTTGATTACATAAAAGTGGGAAAATAAAATATTGAGAGGCATTGACTCAAAATATTGAACAAACACGTAGGATTTACTACTGATGGTATTGGAGTCAATGAAAATAATTCACTCTTTGATCGAATACAGATAAAAAGTACTGCCCAAAACAACCATCACACAGTTCCTCGAGATTCAAGCCTACGTAGCTACCAGGTTTTCGTAAATGAATATCAAAATGTGATATGGTATGTATGAAATGATAGCACTTGAGCTGCTGTAACGAATGATCACAGAATGCCCACTAGTTACCGTGCTGAAATGTCGAGACGCTAAAAGACAACGGTTTGAGAATGACATAGCTCAAAATCCTTTTTCAATGACAGAGAGACATGCACACAACTTTTTTGCATCGTAATCGATGTAATTCTTAGCTTTAGCTTCACAGTAACTTCCTGCAGACACCCAGCATAATACTTAGTCGACAAATATCATGTATAAGCAAGTTGAGCGACGTGATTTAATTGACGGGGTTGAGTAAAGCTCCACTGAGATTGAACGAAAGTCAAGTTAACAACAGTGGTAATAAAGGATAGAAATTCATTAAGGGGTGAGGGGAAGAATATAATACAAATAAGAAACAAACAAGCACCCTTAGGAAAATTGTCCCCAAGAGCTCTTTGAGTTTATAAATCCTGTAACACTTATGATCTTCGGGGAGACTTTGGTCATTAAGTTTCACACCAACACCCTTTCCATCAACAATACCCACAGGTAAGAGTATATTTCTGGATGCATATTCCCATTCACCACTAAATTATACACATTCATTTGATGCTAAAAAAAGTATTCCACTCCAAATCATACAGCTGTGTAAAACCTTATGAAGAACTGTGATCGGAACTAGCGACAAAAAGTAACATCCGCTAGTCATGCACGGTGTTGTTGTTCTTATTAAATTTCATGAGACAATGACAAATGTGAATACAGCACCCGTCTCAAATTATTTTAATGGCACTAAGACGTATCAAAAAAGATACCAGTCTACTGGAAACGGTGTAAGCACCAGTGAGAAGGGCAGATATCGGCCTCTGGAGTGATCGTATAATGGACAGTTGAGAAAATTAGGTCTTATCACATGTGCAGATAGAGGCGGACATATGCATTGTCAAATCATATCTCGGCTGGCAAATACCAAGTGTAAGTCAGCTGCATACAAACGGCGTTTAACACATTTAGTTAGACGACTTTTAGTGACTTCAGAGACAGTATCACCTTTGAACGCCAAACCCACAAACAGTCTTCTCTTGCACTGTGATTTAGCTAAGGACGGTTTTCTAGTTCCTTGTCGACCATATATAGAGGGAATATTTTCCTAATTTTGCAGCATACAGAACGGATTTCTCTTCCTACCTAGAGGTAACTAACTGTTGAAGTTAGTGCATTGTCCAGTAAATGTCACCTTTCGATAAATCGACCTTTTCCACGTGCCATTTAACATCACATCTAGGGAGTGAAATGGGAAGTTCAATTCTTCTTGGATAGTGAAAATCACCGATGGGTATTAATATCATTCCATAACTAAGAAGTATTGAATGCACTGACGTAATAAGGCGGGCAATTCCACCTATCACTGTAAAATACGTTTGCCTCCAAGACTGTACCAAAAGGGTGATCACAAAACTGTTTTGAACCCTGGAAACTAACAAATGGGAACAACACTGTGGATTTCCTGACAAGATTGTACAGGTGATATATCACGTGATACTATAGTATCACGTACTTCACCGACTATCTAAAACCAAATAAATAACGATAAGACACAGTGCATGAAGCAATAAAAAATAACAGTGAACATAAGTGCCCACCAAACTTGATATACGTATAAAACGACAGTCAACACACAAACAACCATACTTGAAATTCACTTTTCAAAACTGCCGCTTCTGCATCAGCTACGCAAACAACCTTCAACTTATACTGTGAAAATATAACTGACATGCGGATTGTAGAGGAAGCGTATAGAAATTTGCTGAACCTTTGATGAAATTTCAAGATTTACCGAATACCCACCCTTCAGAAGAAGTTAAAGTTTAAACACCAAAACATGCTCGTGGAGTGCGACATCACCAGTGCCCATCGGGCGCTTGCTGAACAAGTTAGTAAAACATCATAACCATAGCTAAAATAAGCTCACTGAAGCGTTATGATACTAAGCAAAATATCTCGTAACTTTTAGGCCAGGTCCCCAATGTCCAATATCGTTTTTACGAGCTAGTATAAACCAATTTGATTTCTTCGTGCTCGCTTCTTGATTGTAAGGTATAGGTTCCTGATCTTCGGTAAACCTCTGCGTAGCTCATCCCGCCACTCGACTGTTGTAGCTTTGGTTGACTCCAAAGGTAGTAGTGCTGGGATTAATTTTATGTGGTTTGTAGTATGAGGTGTGTTAAGACTATTACTACTGTGAATGGAGTTGATCCTTTCGCCAGTTAGTCCTCCGGTATCGTCGACAAGAGAAGAGGTAGTAATAATAATACTAATAATAGATATAACTAGTGAAGCTATTCAGACTAACAGAGAGAAACGGAAATAGGAAAGCGTAACAACAGTCAGCTGATTAAATTTGAAGAATTATATATATATATATATATATATATATATCGGTAATAATAATAGTAATAATAATCATAATATTAATGAGTTGTTAGCAGAGTAAGACGGAAGAGAATGTAAAGAAGTAAAATGACGAATTTAATTGTCTACCCCTGAATGGTGTATGCGATTTAAAGGGGATAGGCCATTTGGATGCAGTCCTTGTGTTGCTGCATGGTTGTCCAGCCTTCGCTTAAAGGCATCCAAAGGCGGTGCCATAGCTAAATCTGCCGGTAAGGAATTCCAAGGACGGCAAATCCGCAGTGAAAAGAAGTGGGAGCACACCCGGGTCCTTGCCCTCTGGTGAGCTATCCTTCTGGGATCTCCACGTGGGAGCCTATACCTACTCAGTGACAGAACACCTTTGTTTGGGTGGTTCTGGTTATCTGTTATTTTGTAGGCAGTGATCAAATCCTCCCTAAGCTGACGGTAGCTAAGTGTGAACAGGCCTAATTTCTTCAGCCTTTCATCATATGGTTTGTTTCGAAGACCAACCACTCCTTTTGTTGCCCGTCGTTGGACTCTTTCCGAGAGGTTGGCGTCTCTTCTCAGCATTGGGGGTGCAATCATATTATGCACCTCAAGGTATGGCCTGACGTATGTTTTGTACAACCTTAGAAAGAACTCAGGAGTGAGTGCATCTAACTGTCTATGCGTAAAGTGTATGACCGCATATGCCCTCCCTACATCCCCTGTGTAATTAACGCTTGTGTCCATTTTTTCCGTTAGAACTAGACCTAAGTCGCGTTCCGACGTTGTGCAGGACAAGCTTTCATTGCACGGGGTGTAACTTGCATTCTGCAGTCTACAGGTGCACAACTTCACTAGTTTGCACTTTTTCAGGTTGAAAGTCATACCACTGGCCACTGCCCAGATTTTCCTGCAGCCTATCGCAGTCCTCCGGACACTTTATCGCCCCCCATATCTTTACGTCGTCAGCTTAGACGGCGTGGTAGACCATTGATAAAAATCAAAAACATCAGTGGTCCTGAGATAGAACCCTGCTACACTCCTGATGACGAGCTGTGCCAAGATGATCGGACTCGGTTAACCTTAGTGCGAAATTGCCTGTCGGTTAGGTAGTCCTTTAACCATGACAGAAGTGGCTCATCTATACCTGCCTGGCTTATTTTATGTAGGAGAAGGTCATGGTGAACAGTGTCAAAAGCCTTCTCAAAGTCTAGGAAGACCACATGGACTGGTACATTCATATCCCAGCATGATGTCCAGTCGTCTCAAGCTGACAGTATGTTAGTAACGCAGGATCTGCCTTTTCTGAAACCATGTTGGGCTTCATGCAGTATATTAGTCCTATCGAAATATTCCCTGATGTGGTCGTCAATAATACTTTCCAGTAATCTTGACACCACTGGGAGTAAAGCTACTGGTCTATAACCAGTGGCGTTTTGCCTGTCCCCACCTTTGAAGACTGGAGAAAGAATGGCTCTTTTCCACTTCCTTGACAGTGTCTCCGTTTCCGATGAGTGTTGGAACAAGTCGCACAGAGGTCTACAGACAGCTTCGGCGCACTGTTTCAGAACAGATGGTCTGATGTCGTCACAACCTGGGGGCTTCCCAGGTGTGAGTCGTAGTAGCTTCCTTAGTGCTATTGCGGGGTTTATTTGGGGAGTAGCCGCTAGGTCTCCCTCTTTTGAAATAGTGGTGCCACTATTGTGGTCCGTAACTGTAATATCCACCTTGCTGTTAACTGTTTGGAGAAGGCTGAACTGAATGTTTCAGCCACCTCCAGACTAGTGAGATATTGACCGTTTGGGCCTACTAAGGCTCATGCCCCCTGGTTTGTCGGTATTCTTTCCGACATGAATCGGTTGAGGTTTTTCAGTTTGCTGGGAGTTTTTTTAGCAAGGTTAGCCTGGAATGAGTCTGGGAGTTCAATAAGTGGTGGGTCTGTTGCTCGCACACATTTAAGTCGCCTATCAAAGTGCATTCAAACTCCCCCTCCTTCCTTATTATCCTGTCTCTCCTGACCAGAACCATATCACCTATACTGATTTCATTGTCGGCGATAGTGGGGTGTAGCCACGTTTCAGTGAGAATGATCATTTTCAGTTGTGGGTGTGCTTGGAGATTTCGGAGTTCACCCACTCTTCCTCTCAGCCCCCTCATATTGCTACATAGGCAGCTGACAGTGAGTCTAACAACTTCAGCGTGTTTTGAGGTACTCGACGTGAAACTGTGTGCTGGTGGGGGACTTAATGTTGGGACTAGTTGGCCGATTCCGATAGAACCGGCCCGTTGTAGATATTTTTCAATGGATTTAGGCAGGACACTTGGGAGACACAGACTATTATTCTCAGAGCTGCATCGCTCTAGTGTCACTGAAGCTTGGGGACGCATTAAAGCCTCATTTGCTGCCTCCTTATAGTTCGGGGTCTGCTTTCGCAGCATCGGATGTGTCCTCCCATTTTTCCCTTGGTTTCATACCACCGTTGAAGTGCTATGGACAACTGCTCCGGGGAGTTGAATGTGACACTTAGCAGCTTTGGAGAGCTAATCAGTGTTAGATGAGCGGGGCGAGGTAGTCGGAAAATGGAGATGGCTTCAGAAGCGCGAATGGCCATCTGGGATGACAGCCATCTCCATTGCTGCACGTCGTGCATGTGTTTTTCACAAGCAGTGCCGGTTTCCAGCTCCGGAACACCGTGTACCACCATAGAGGCGGAAGGCATCAGTTCCGGTGACTCCCTCGCCATATGTCTGATAGCCCATGGTCTATCTTGTCCCACCCTTATGTTAGAACTTCTGTCCAGGGCTAGTACCTGAGCCATTAATAGTACTTTTTCGGACTCTTCGGCAGAGTCCAGTTTAACCCGTAGTGGGAGTGGCTTACCCTGAGGCGTGTGGACACACCTGTACAGCCTGCACAATTTTACTGAACTAATGTTCAGACCTAGTTTGTTGCACAGGTTGGACCACTGTTCCTGATCAAACAGGGCCCGTTGTTCGAGCAAGCTATCCTTGCTCAGAGGTACGTTAAAGAGGATGAGAGAGTTAGACCGACTACCCTCAGGCTTAGGTTTGGCCTTCGGCTTCTTGCACTCCTTTGCATCATCAGCAACATTAGGCTTCATCAGGATCTGGCCAGCCTTTCTGTGTTGCCAAGCTTGCTAGTGGATGCAAGTGGTGCTTTTGTAATTTTGTCTTCCCCTGATGTGTATGTAACCTTGTGAATCTTCGCCTTGTGAAAATTGGCATTTCCAGTCAGTAGGACTGGTGTGTCCTAATTACTGTCTTTGCCAGGTTTTGGCAGTATGATGTTAGCAGGGGGGAGCTGCATGAGACTGTGTTGGGACACAAGAGCGGCGTGTTGTTTCTGCTATCCGCAGACATGCTTTGTGGGACTATGCCGGGGCGACAAAAATGGACAAATGTACCAGAACCATGGGCATGGGTTATTTCTCATAAACTCTCTGTATGCTTTCGGTACCTCTTTGTCACAACGGCAATGCACCCATCGTTTGCAAAAATTGCATTCAAACGCTGAGTCAGTTTTAGAAACTATGATACTGCACGCCCGACATTCATCCCCTTTCCTTGATGACCCCTTCGAGGTCTTATGACGTCTTGAATGTTTCCTTTTAGGTTTTCTGTGTTTCACACACTGGCCTACAGTTGATGCAGGTGTAGAATCCTGTCCTCCTGGTATTGCCTGTGCCGTTTCAGTACTAGGCTGTGGCAATGCAGGCGTAGTATCAGGACAGATGAAAGCTACACGAGACTTTGGGATCGGTATGCGGGAAGGGGTTGAAGTCCCTGGGTTGTTTCCTTCTCTGGTTGAAGCCCCTGTGGCTACAGGGTACGGTGTTTTAGTGGCTTTTCTAAGGCTTCTTTCAACAACCATATTAACAATCAGTATGACTTGTGCTATAGACGAATAAGAAAGCAACAGAAATTGGGCGGCCTGCTTGAACACAGGGCTACCAAAAATTCCACCTTACAACATTTTGCAAAATTGCTTTGGTTTGCTCTTTAAATTTTGTTTTAATTTATCAATAATGTGTCCTAATCGTATTATATATAATCGCGCATTTTTAAAATCATTACAACCTGTAATGCAATGGAAACCGATACAATGCCACTAAACAAGTTTCCTTTTTCTCTTTTTCAGAAAGAAACGGTGATGTGGCATCATTGGAGCAAGAGGAGGACCAGTTATCAAAGCTTGTTATAAATGACGATAACTAACTTGTACCCGGGTAATTTGAGTCCGGTTTCTTTCAAATAAACGCTTCCTCCGTACCGTCTTTGCCTTCTTCTCCACCCGTCGTGTCTGTGGTCTGTGTGTCTTACAATTGGTGTCGGAGGTGCCTTATTTACGCCGAGACATGGCAGATTATCCTCAAGATGCCCTTCCCAAGCTCTTTCCGGAGGAATGTGCCCCCACATTGCCAAGCATTCCGCCACTTCCTCGCCCACCCATGTTCCAGCCTTCCTCAGA